AGTACCAACAGAAGACTCTGCATTTTGTCAGCGTCTTCACCAAACAGGACTATGTCATCTGCGTATTCTAAGTCGATAAGTGAACCTCCTGGTAGAAGATCAATTCCTGAAAATTCAGTCGACGAGAGTGTTAGTTCCAGCAACAGGTCTATAATGAAGTTAAACAAAAATGGGGATAGTGGACAACCTTGACGGACACCACTTGAGGTTGTAAAATCATATGACAGTTCGCCATAAGCTCTCACTCAACTGGTAGTGTTCGAGTAAAGAGCCTTCACAAGGTTTATGTACTTCTTAGGTACACCTTTCAATGACAGACACTGCCACAGAACCTCTCGGTCTACAGAGTCAAATGCTGCTTTCAAGTCAAGAAAAACTATCATTGTCGGACGCCGATAAGCGTGTCTGTGCTCTAAAACTTGACGAATGGTGAATATGTGGTCGATACAGCCACGACCAGGTCTGAAGTCAGCCTGATTTTCTCGTGTTTGCAGTTCACGAGTCTTAGTTAGGCGCCTGATAATCATTGAGGCTAGTATTTTAGATGCTATGTTAGTCAGACTAATCCCTCTATGGTTATCGCAGGATGATTTTGACCCCTTCTTATATATTGGGACAATCAGTAATTGTGACCAGTCGGATGGGATTACGTCCGTCTCCCAGATTTTAGCCAGAATATTAGTCAACCTAATCACTAAAATTGGACCACCATATTTAAAGACCTCTGGAGCCAATCCATCTGGACCAGCTGCTCTTCCTCGTTTCAGATTACTTATAGCCTTTTGAACTTCAAGTAGGGTCGGGGGCCTACTTCAATGTTCCATTCAGGTTTTCTGGGAATAGTGGGTAGTTGTGCAGTAGCTGAAGGCCAGCTAAACTGCTCCTTAAAGTGTTCCGCCCATCGTTCTAAACGTTTGGGTTGAGAGCAGATAAGGGTTACGTCTTTTTCCGAGATTGTCTCACTTACACTTGACTTCTTAATTCCGGTTTCTTTTATTAGTCAGAATAGTTGCCTGGTGTTGCCTACAGCCGCTGTCTTTTCCATCTCTTTTGCTTTCGTTGCCCACCACTGCTAACGATCGTTCCTTAGACTTTTAGTTAACCTAGATCTAATTTCTTTACGCTCTTCGTCATGTTCAGAGCCTGATGGGATGAGTTTACGCGAATCCATCAGTGAAATAGACTTAGAGGAAATCCACTGGTTTTTTGGAGCCCTATGGTTTAAATGACTAATAGATGTTACTGCTGTTTCCACAGCTATTCGTATGTCTTTCCAAGCAGTATCTGGGTCAGTCTCGTTTACAGAACTGCCTATATGTGAACTCAGTTGTTTCTGGAATTTGCATTTGGCTTTCTCGTCCTCCAGTTCAATCCTAATGGGTCTTCTTAGTGTACTTTTCCTGCGTAAACCATATGGAAATAAAGCGATATAAAATGAGATTATTTCAAATCATAAAGTAAAGACTTTTGAGCAAGTGTTTATAGCGTAAGTAGTTGGTAATCCATATTTCCTATTGTTTTAATTTGTGTAAGGATTGTAGTACCACAAGGGTGCTGCGAAACATAATGTGGCTTTTTTTAGGTAATCACTCATGAAGGCTGTAATTTTAATCTGCTTTGTAAGGGAGTGCAGCAACACCAGATGTGTTCCCATAACGCATGATGGTTAGTGACACTATTCGGTTGCTGAAATTTATATAGGTGATGAAGAGTTTGAAGCTGCAACATACTGGTTCAAAGCCAGGTGCTTTAAACGCCAAGCGACTCTTAAACAATAAGCGAAAGCAGTTTAATGGTTAAAGTACTTCAGTGGACAAAATGTAAGTTAAATCTAAATACATTAACTTGTAAAGACAAATAGATTGTTTTCTTCAAGCAATATCGTGGTAACAAAAGACCTAGACAAACTAGTACAAAACATAGGTCTAAAAGGAAGAGTTAATGTGGTTGCTCAACTTCGGCACAGTTTTAAGGGTGTCGATAAACTACTTTTTTCGACCTCAGTTACCCCAGCATACAGTGCTTTAAATGTTCTTAAACGAGCTTTGAAGAATTTCCAGTTGTATAAAAAGAATAAACCAAACATCTTGTATTACAAGCAATTTTCTAATGGTCATCAAGGAATACGTCCTATAACACAAAAACTTTACTATTTATTGAAAAATAGAGAGGAAATACATGGATTGAAACTGTAGTTTTACCATAACGTCAAGATAAAATAGAATTATAAACAATTGCAAAACAATACCGAATTAAAAATTCCTTAAAAAACAGCATATCAATCAGTCAGTTACAACGTGGGACCAGTCACATATATGCATCGGTCCAAGTTGCTACACTTCATTAGCACAAGATGACCACCAAATTCATAAAAGTAGTTACTTCAATGGTAGTAATATATAAAAGAAAGATTGCATATAAGGATATAATACAGCAAGAAAACTGGATTTTCATTTATTCCAACGCAAAACTGAATACAGGAATTGGGATGAATTATATTTTGAAGAGTTACCTCGTAAAATCCTGATTCGTGTTGAAGGGAATCTACGTTACACAAGAAGACCTCAATATGTGCTCGATGAGATTGGAAATCTACAGATTAGATCAGCAACAGCTGTGCATGCCATAATAAATAACCATCCAAGTTAACAAAAAAACAAGCCATTCATAAAGCATCATCTAAGTATTAACAACGATGATCAGTCAAAGTACTTTGTGTATGGAATCCCATAAGGTAATTTTATTTTATTTTATTTATACACATACATATTAGTACAAGGAAGCACCAGATACATATGCGCCTCACAAATCTCATTTGATTTGTCTATTTATTTATTTAAACACATACATATTGGTACTAAAGGGCACCAGATACATATGTGTCACACAAAATAATGAAAGTAGGAAGAGAAAGGATGAAAAGATAACGCGGACTAAAATGTACAACCAGAAGACTCTTTCAGTTAAGAAAGTTAGAACCATTCTTTATGAAGAAAGTAAAAGAAGGTTGCAGCAGGATCGCCACTGGCTTCTATTCTGAGCCATATCTGATAACGTCCCTAGCCACTGTGTTGCACCATCTCTCGGACCCCATTTATTATTTATTTATTTAAACACATAAATATTGGTACAATGAAGCCCCAGATAAATATGCGCCTCACAAATCTCATTCGATTTGTGTGAGGGCTGTGATACTGCCAACGTGCCCAGACTGAAGCAGGTGGTCTTCTTAGGGGGCCACACCCGGAGCCTTTGACTTGAATGTCTGATCCACAAGGCAGTGGAGCATCGTGAGGAGATGCAGTCCCATGGTAGCCGTTGACCAATGACAGGTTCGTCCGCCATTCGTTCCATCAGGATACTGGAGCCCATGTGCACCATTGGTTTGGAATCAGGGTTTTCCAACTCCCCTAGGTGGACCCTCCGTGTCCACCAACCCGGTTAAAGCGCCGGACATTCGCTTTTCGTCCTCTCAATTTCGTAAACAACACCCCCGCCACGAGAAGGCAGTGAGTAGGACTTCCCTGGCAGAGGCTATATATACTTTTAAAATTTTATAAGATACACGGATGTCATAATTCCTATGTATTTAAAAATATTCACTATATTTCTATTGAAATTAGTTGTCGGTCGCAAGAAATAGTCTACAGTACTACTAAGTGATACTAATAGCCGTTAGCTGACTGACTGGAGGCGATTAGGAGACCGCAATTTTGCGGTGCCTTCACGAAATATAAATATCTTATCTCTGTATTGTAAGACAATAAGTTAATCTCATAACATGCCTAAACACAAAAAATGGTGAAATAAATTAAATGTGACAAAATTTCAAAGACGATTGGAACAAATCGGGACTGAATGTTACCTTTCCAGCATAAAAGATCAAAATCTAAAGGCTCTGGAAGTTTATCTGTTTGTTTACTACAGTAACAGATTTACACAGAAATCTACACTTTAAAACAAGAAAAGGAAAAATAGACTTTACTTCTTATCCATTTACTAGTTGGTGGTATTAGTGTTGTAAATATCTAACTTCTTTATATTTAGGGACAAAAATAACTAAGGTAGCAAAAGCAAGTATGCAAGTTCATAAAGACGAACTACTAATCTACAGATGGATTGGCAGATTTTTGTCTGCGTGTGTGCCACAATGGTTAAAAGAAGCTCATACCCATATGTTATTTAATTTAGCAATCTACGTCCCAGTATTCAGTACGCCAAATAATGAATCAGAGCGTTTTTTACTATACCCAGCAACTTTGATTAGTTTTAGGAATGATAATCAGCTAGCTATTTATAACGCAGGACGTGACAAAAATGTGGATCAGTTTAAGTTGCCAAACTGCGTCAGCATGGTGAGATAAAATTAACACGACAAATACAAAATAAGTTGAAATAATAGCGGTGTTGACCAAACCCAAGTACGATTTTCAAAGAGATAAACTCGATGAAAAAAATGCGTAAAGAAATATTGGAATATAATACCTGAAGTAATAATTACAATATGAATATGCCTATCTCTAGGCTACCGCGATGCGAAATTGAACTGGCCTTTATCTGAACAATCCTATTTAGATTTCCGTCCTACGCCGCTGAGATAAAAACTGACTTTTTGCCAACAGCAACCCTATGAAGTTACTTTCTCTGAACACCACACGTCAGCAAGCATAGCAATCAATTCTAAAGCGGCTGTATGTAATAAAATATAGTCTAGACAAATTGATCGGCATATTACTTGGACATTTCGCACAAATATCAACGCCCTACAACATACAAGTGAGGCCATAAAGACAAATGACTCGACGCGCAAACCTCCGCAAATGTAATAGATTAAAATTACCACTTACTTAGCACTAGTTTTGACCTGTGTATAGAATTCTATACTTTCACCTTTATTTTTTTTAAAATTTGTACAAAATGACATTTGAGGTCTGAAAAATTCTTACATATTTACATTACAATTATGATTTGATACATTTTCGGATAGTAAGAACCCTCACCTGTAAACAGATCGTTAAACAAGCAACGCTTAATAAAGCGGTTCTTTTCCAAAGCAATACCGATAGGTTTAGCTGCGTCTATCCCAAGTGTGTTTCCGCTGAGATTCAAACACTCTGCATTTAGGTTGGAAGCTAGTGCAGAAACAATATCATTCGCATCAGCAGCCTTATCTAGCTTCAGGGCATGATTTGCGAAACTAACAGTCCATCCGTTACATCCGTTCGACCCAACTACCATTGTATCACATAAGTGGGTAGCCCAAGTCTTCTTTCGCCCGCGCACTGTATTGGTTCAAACGCGCGCAAGTTAAAAATGACAGTGGTATTGCTTCTCGTTGAGTGAAATTCAATGCTTTGATCTTAAATTACGCATCGAAACTACTGTTTGCACCTTAATTGAATTTATTTCAGTTGAAGTGATATTGTACTTGTGTGTTTTGATCTTGCTTTTGTGTATTTGCTGCATCTAATCATTCTTGGTCTACTTTAGCTTGATTTATTTGATCAAGGTTTGAGATTTGTCCTATACATCCATTTTGTCTACCATTTTAGTTAATTTTTAGGATGGTCGGCTCTGATCACAAGTGTGGACAGCCATATTTAAAAAGGACAGTGGTATTTTCCACGTTGAGTAAATTCTATTGTTTTGATCGTTATTAAAGTATCAAGACTACTGTTTATACTTTGATTGAATTTCTTTCAGTTAAAGTATTCGATTAGAGTATCACTTTTGGTTTATAAAATAGTTCATCGTCTATACTCTAGAGTACCTTATTTTTTCTATTGTATCTGTTAGTACTTTGGTCATAACTATTTACAGTTTTTCTACTTTTTGGTCAAAGCTCACTTTTTCCTCCTCAAATGACTGGAAGGTGCAATAAAAGCATTTTCAGCGTCCAGGATGTCAATATCCCGTTGACGGCGGCAGGCAGTGCGACGAGTGCAAAGGCTGGTACCACGAAGTTTGCACGAATCTAACGCCTGCGGCTTTTAAACGGTTCCGTAAGAATGATTGCATGTGGCTATGTCAACAGTGCTGTCTGGATGCAAATAGCCTGTTAAACGAGGCCATCTCAATGATCAGTGCTGCGAAGAAGTGTCTCTGCAAACGCGGTCGGGACAAGTCGGTCAGAACTTGGTCTGTCGACACGCAGATTGATGTACGGCAAGCACAAGTGAGCCCAAAAAGTGCTGACCCACATCGCCCAAAGGAGGAAGGACAGCCTTCAAAGAGGTCTGTCCCAATCAGAAACTCGCGAAAAAAGTCTCTTCTGTCTCCCGTATCCAAAATGGTACCCTGAAGGGAACTTCCGGAAGCAAAAATCGTAAGGTTCGATCGATTTCCAACGAGAAACACGACCCGTCCTCCTAAGTCGTCCTCAACCCTCCGGAATCTCAGAGTACGCCTAACGCGACTATAGTTACTACTCCAAACAACGTCGACGATTGGGTACAGGTCGTAAGCGAAAAACGACAAAACAACGTAAACGAGAATCCTACCCCACCGATGTAGTTGAAAAGCCGAAGTTTGATCACAGCGACAGATCAGCCATTTTTCATAGAATCAAGGAGAGTGAGATCTCGGAACCGAAAGCTCGTTTTGAGCATGACATTGAGTTGATAAAACAACTACTCAGCCAAGTTATGCTTCAAAATATTTCTGGAGTCACCTTGCTTAAGGTGTATAGGCTAGATAGCCCGGCAAATTTGAGGCCTAACTAATCCAGACTGCTTGAAGTAAAATTCAAATCTCCAAATGAACGCGACCTAGTTTTACAAAATGGACATAAATTTAAGGGTTAGGGAGTTTTTCTCCGTAAGGACTTAACGCTGGCGGACCGTGTTAAAAGACGGAAGCCGAAAAATAACTACCGCTTAGATTAGACGCTGACAAAAAAGATCTAAAAATTGTAAATTTTCGGGTTGTGTAGAGATTGACTATACTAAGCTAGACATTATTGCAGTCACAGAAACTTGGCTGACGCAGTCTATAGACAGTAGGTAACCTGACCTCGAGGGTTTCACATTAGTAAGTGCCTACAGAATACAAAAGCGTAAATGAGTGGGAGTAGCTGTATTCATTAGGAATGCTATTCCATTCACCATTACCGACAATGTGTCCCATGAGGGTGGGACGCGTGAACCAGTTACTTGCCACTTGAAATGCAAGGGACATGAGCTAATTATTGACTTGGTCTATCACAGTCCAAGCTGTGAGGTAAATGAGGACTTTAATGCACCCATGGTGGACTGGGGAAATCTGCGGACTGAATCGTCAGATAATTCCTTCGAACAGGAACTAGTTGATGCGGTTATCACATGTGCCCTAGTGCAACACGTGAAGGGGGCGACTAGGCACGACTCAGGCTCTGCATCATCCTTACTATATCTTATATTGACTCACTATGAGTATGACGTTGCAAACCTGGATTACATGCCACCCCTAGGCAAAAGTGATCATGCAGTTTTAAGCTTTGACTTCCATATAACTGTCGATCACGAGCACGCCTCAGCTCAATCGAGACCTAACGTCTGGAAAGCAAACATACCAGACATCATGCACTCAGCATCATCAGTAGATTGGAAAATAGACCCAGAGTCCTCAATCGGAACGGCACCTCATGTAAACTGTGACTATAAAGACCGAAATACCAGTATTCGCTTTGAACGTGATACTAACGAACCAAAGTTCATTCGATTAGATCAGACTGTATTCTTCTGTACAGCGTAAGAAGCGTTTCTTAGTGACTCGTATTAAATTATATCAAAAGGAACTCTGTGTCCAATTCGAACGGTTCTAATGTAGGAGAGCAAGCAAATTATATCAAAAGTACAAAATTCCTCAATCGATACAGCCTATGCTATATAGCCAAGGGTTTCTCTCAAACAAACTAACGTGCTAAGCAGAATCAGAAATAGTTAGTACACAAGAGTTCATTACCTGAGAATGAACAAAAATATGTAAGGATGTAGAAATTGGCATACACACAGTGAGGTTGTCCGCATATTTTACAAAAAAGTTTTCTGTGGAGGATGGCAGATCATGCAGAAAAAAAGAGAAGAGCAAAGGTGAAAGAACAGCTCCTTCTGGCACACCTACATTAGTCAGTAGAGATGTTGAACACTTTCCTTCAAATACAGTGTACTGTTCTCTTCCAGAAAGGTAGGAACGTAGTCAATTGGTCATCCAGCTGTCAGTGTCGACGCTGATCAGCTTGTTAAGTAAGAGGTGTCTTGGAATAGAATCAAAAGCAGAGGTAAAGTCCAGGAAAGCGCATCTAACATACTTCTTACCCTTTTCCAACCCGAACACTATATTGTGATGCACAACAGCAACGGCATCTAATGTGCTTCTTTTGCATTTGTAAACAAACTGATATGGATCACAGTGCTCTTTTATTGCAGGTTGAAGTGGTTGTATCAGTAATTTTTCCATTATTTTAAGGAAAGGTGAAGCTATTGCAATGGATCTAAGTTTCGCATTTCTATCACCAGAAGCTTTCTTTGGTATAGGGATTACCTTTATCTTTCTCCACATTTTCGGTATGACATTAGTTGAGAAGGATCTGTTAAAGATATTCGTTAATGGATAACATAAAACATCAGAACATTTTTTAAAAAGGAGGTTTGGGATACCATCAGGTCCTAAACATTGGAAAGAATTAAGTGACTGAAGGCATTTTCGGACATCATTTTCAGTGAAACTGGAAACACAATTATTCTTCAGACCCTTGGATATAGGGAGCATTATGTCGGATGACTGACGTATAAAGGACTTATTTAAGTCACAAACATTTAGCTGGTTATCGCTTCTAGTCTTCCTGTCCCCTGTAATTTCTTTAAAGAGTTTCCAGATACTTGGAGTTCTTCAGTAAACACAGAGTTGAGACGTCTAATCTCTTGATTTATTTGACCATTTAATTTACGAACTTCAGTAGTATTTTTCTCCTTGTACATCCTTTCTTTTACCCTCCGTAGTCGTTTTAGATGTGGAGATGTAAGTCGATAAAAACTTAAAAAGAAGGTTTCAGTAGGACAGCAAATATCAAAACAGAACTTAAGATAACAGGTGATAACATCAGTTGTGTTTTCTATTGAGTCATCTGTAAACAATTCCCAGTTGGTCGTACGAAACATGTTTTTTAGATTTTGTAAATTTTCTTCTGAGTAATTCCTGTATATTACTTTTTTGGTATGGTGTATATGTGTACTCTTTCCATGTTTACCATATACTTTAGGTAGAACACGAATTATAAAGTGATCCGAGCTAGACAATGGAGCACGTTTGCTAGTCACATAGGTACCCACATCATTAATGAAAACCAAGTCTAGATGAGCATTCAAACGAGTAGGAAAATCTACTACATTTAGGTGACCTAGTGATGTAAGGAAGCTACAGTCACATGAATTGAAATCACCACATACAATTGAAAGTGAATCACTGAAGGTAGTAAAGGCGAATTCAGTAAATTTATCAGCGAAGACAGATAGCGCAGATGATATGCAGTCTGGAATCATGTAGATATTGGTAACATAAACATATTTGTATTTATTCAGGTGTTTTGAACGGCACCTTAAAGTTTGACAGTCAATAAAGTCATTTGAAAACTTGAAACAGGCAAAAGTAGATCGACACCAGTTAACGTTTACAAAAGTAGCTACTCCGCCACCACAAGTCTTTTTATTGTTTGATCGATCCTGATGATAGATATTAAAATCACGTAATGATACTAAGCAATAATCCTGTAAGTCAGTCAACCAAGATTCTTGAATTGTGATGACACCACAATTACGATACATGTTTTGACTAAGTAGAAATTGGAGATAGTTCACCTTGTTAATTAGTGATCGACAGTTAGAGTTAAGCAGCTCGGGAATCGACATTCGATTAATGTTTATTCTCTTTAAAACATATTGCCAACAACCACGATGTCTCTTATTGTACGTGTTTGTAATTTTTGCAGCGAAAGGACGTAGGCTTTTCATAAACGCGCCTGTATAGGTTATGCGATTAATAGACATAATGATAAGTTAAAACAAAACTAAAAAACCCAGATAACTTGTTGAAATATTTAGATGGCAGAAACAGGTAGCGCAGGTATTCGAGCAGGCCGCCGATTTCGGTACACCTATAGTATTCTTTTGGATATATTTTCCTCATTCACTGCCATACTTGATATTCAATATGGTCGGAAGCTACCGCGCGACTTCAACACGTTACACCTTGTGTGTCTGCTACTGATGTCTCGGAGACTTACAAAATTCTAACAAGACCTTTCTTAAGAGTTGAGATCTAATCAGTTCACAAAGGTTATATCAACTCTTCAACAAGATCGATCTATAACATGGCTCAGCAAGAGACATGTTGTTACACATGAGGTC